GTTTATCTGGGGCCGACGCCCAGGGTGTGGCGGAGAGACGATCTGGGCAGGCTCCTCTTCCCTGCCCCCCCGACGCTGGCCGGGAGCTCCCCATGCTACCAGCCCCGTCTGAGATCCGCAGGGAGAGTGGGATTGTAGGCCGGTCCACTGGCCCCGGGGTGCCCCGCGTCGAGGTAAGCAATTAGCATCTGGTCCCGGGGTTTTCTTTGTTGGGAGCTTTCTGATAACAGCTTCAGTCTCCTTTATTGTTATTGGTCTGTTCAGGTTTTCTATATCTTCTTGGTTTAATTTTGGAAGCTTGTGTGAGTCCAGAAATTTATCCATTTCCTCCAGGTTTTCGAACTTGTTGGCGTATAGCTGTTTATAGTAGTCTCGGATGATTCCTTGTATTTCATTTGTGTCAGTTGTAATATCACCTTTTTCATTTCTAATTTTTGTTATTTGAATCTTCTCTCTTCTTTTTTTTGTAAGCTGTGCTAGTGGTTTGTCGATTTTATTTATCTTTTTAAAGAACCAACTTTTTGATTCGTTGATCTTTTGTATTGTTTTTTGGGTTTCAATTTCGTTAAGTTCTGCTCTGATCTTGATGATTTCTTTCCTTCTGCTAACTTTAGGTTTGGATTGTTCTTGTTTTTCTAGTTCTTTAAGGCACATAGATAATATTTTTAGGCTTTGCAGACCATGTATGGTCTCTGTCACATGTTCTTGGTTTTTGTTGTAGTTGTTTGCCACCCTTAAAAAATGTAAAAACCAATTTTAGCTTGCAGGTATTACAAAAGCAAGCCATAGGCTGGATTTGGCCTCTGAGCCACAGCTTGCTGACCCCTGGTCTGTAGTAATGAGGAAAGCTAATCTATTTAATCTAGCATCCAAGAGGGCAGAAGACTTTATTATCCATTAGAGAAGACGTCGCTAGTACTAATCCAAGTCCTAAACAAATTGGAATGTGCCCAGAGTAGTCAGGCATGTGGTAGAGCATGGGAAACCTTAGCCTAAGAAGAATGGCTCAAGAATACGACCAGGATTAGAGAAGGGCAAGAGATGACATCATTGCCATCTGAATATGTAAGTATCCCTGATGCAGAAGGAGAAGACTTGTCCTGCATAGTGCCTTGAGTGGAGTGTCCTTCCCTAAAAGGGTAATTTCTCCTGAGAAGAACTAAGTTCCTTGTAAAGAACTTCCCGATCTTTACTCCAGACAGTGATTTTGTGTATGGCAGGACGTAATTGTACTCACCGTGGAACAGGTTACAACTGTGGACATCAATGATGAGGGAATACTGGAGTAAAGGAAGGTTTTATTTTGGGTGGAATTAAAGTAAATCTTCATAGGATGCTTACACTTTGAGTGGGTTTTGTGAAAGGAGCTACATGGCTGGACAATATCTAAAAATGTTACCTAACAATAATTTCATTTTATTATTATAATCTTTACCATGGTGAAAATCTCCAAAAGACATCCTAATTTGGGGTCCAGAAATCTTTTATTTAGTTCATGTGAATAAGTTGCACTTACTTGGATGCTATAATTTTTAAATCTATTATCTACTTAGATGTAAAGTAAATCACACAGTAGCAAACACCAGGTACCTTGAAGTGACTATAATCTTTCTTATCTCACCTTAGCAACAACTTTTGATTCATCCAGAAGCAGAAGCTATAGTAATAGACTTCTGGTTTGGATTCACCACTTTGTGTCTCTCCTTTTGCTATGCCAGCATTTTTCTCTGTTTAAGAAATTCTGGCAGGCTAATTTAAAGACACCAACCTAGGTTGGATTACTAGCATACTAGCTCTAAGTCTTGTGCTTCAGCGTCATGTCTATGGAAATAGTTGCAGCTATTGGGTTTATTTGGTTGAACTGTTATAGTATTGATTTGTTTATTTCATTAAGCTAATCGGGATGCGATTTATCTTAATTTTGATTTTGGTTGTAGAGGTTGGCGATTTGAAGGAGCTGCAGACACTAGACATTTCTACCAATCGTTTGCTAACTTTACCCGAGAGGCTTCACCTGTGCCTTTCTCTGCAGTACCTCACTGTGGACCGAAATCGTCTGTGGCATGTGCCACGCCACCTCTGCCAGCTGCCTAGCCTCAATGAGCTCTCCATGGCTGGAAACCGCCTTGCATTTTTACCACTTGGTAAGTGATCATCTTCAAACGGTAAAGTAAGACAGCCAAAGAATAAGATGGAAAGCCTTTGTTTCCTTGTCTAGGATGGACTAGCTTCCTTCTTTCTGTTTATCTTGAAGATTGCCTCTGTAAATCTAGATCTGCGTTTACAGGGAACAAAGCATCACTCCCAGTTAACAAATGAAATTTATTTCAGTTAGGGATTTCATATTTAAAAAAAAAAAAACCTGTGCTAAAAATTTGTTGAGGAGCATAATATATGAGGTATGAGATAATGTACTGTGAGAGAAGAATTAAAATGTGTGTGTGCATAACTATAAATTTGACAGAGGATACCGAGCAATATGAAAGGATAACTACTGGTACAGATGCATCTGTTTAGATGTTGACTTCTACCTAGAAAAATTGGTATCAGTTATCCTAGTAATTAGTATTGCCAGATAACCAAACTACAAAACTTTAAAGACTTTAAAATTGGCTGAATTGCCTACTGAGCTAGAAATGTCACCTTAGAAATAAGTAACATATTTTCCACTGTAGATCTCTGTAGTTGGCCCATACTGACGTACCATATGTCAAAGAACATAGGCCTTTAATAAAACAGTACATTTATTTCACAGAGAACTGATTTTCTTAACTTGTAAGAAACAAAAGTGCCATTAAAAAAATGAAGCCCCATAGAATCCTAAACTGTCACAATAAGCATCATATGATTTTACTCATAAAAATATTTTTTATAATGAATAATTTATCTCCAAGGGTGATGAAGTAAATAATTAACTAGTCCCTGAAAAGAAATATTTTCCAATATAATACAGTGTGCATTTTATTTTCAATTTAAAATCTCTTCAAGAAAACTTTAAAATACTGGAAACTTTAAAATCAATTCAAGTAATAATAAATAATTATCAAATTTAAGGAGATTACTTTTCCATAAATATAATTAGATTTCTTACTTATATAATTAACGAAATGAAAGAAAACCATTTCAGAAGCAAACTACATTTCTAAGAAATCAGAGCTTTCTTTCAAGTGAGAAAAATATCAAATATAAATAGATTTTAAAAAATAAATGTACCTGCTACAGTAACCCACAGTTTATAGAACAATTGTAGTGGACAAGCACCAAGTTACAAATCCAGTGATCTGGGTTCTTTCTAGCCTGGTTCCACTACTTCACAGTGCGTGACCTGGAGTAAATCACCAGAACTTCTGTGAGATCTATTCTCCTTATATATAAGCCAGAGATGATGGTATTTATTCTGCTTACTTTAAAGATATTTTCAAGTCAAATGCAATAGTTTGTGTATACAAATTATAAAGCACTGCACAAATATAGGTGACTCTCCAATGCAAAGATACAACTTTTCGATTACCATATCTGACTTTAAAATTTTTTTACCCTCCTTCTCATTTTTAAGACCCCACCCCTCACCCCCATAGTAACCACCCAAACCTGTACTAACCACTTCCTAATGGAAATGGAAATGTATGACCTGTACCAGTACTGACTCCCTGCCACGTGATTTCCAGGATGGTGCCGTCAATGCTGGTAATAAATGAAGGAAGAAAAGGAGAAAGGAAGAGAGGGAGGGAGGCAGGGGAGGAAAAGATGTGACGGTTTGATCTGTGTGGGAGAAAACCCAACTTACTGGCATAACATCAGAGTTCAGGGTAAAGCTGCAAATTCCATTATAAGCAGTCTTTAACTTATCATGGTTTGACTTTCAGGTGTTACTAGAAACAGATTAGCTTGTTAAGTCTGGGGCTGCCTAAAAGATTATTCATAGTATTATTATTATTGTTATTATTATAGATTGTATATGTAAGGAGTGTTTCCATGTGTAATAATGGTATTATGTATCTAAATATGACTATTTATAGGAATAACAATAGCTGATATTTATCGAGCACCTACTCTTTGGCCAGATATCTGATTAATGCTCTCTAATTTAATTATTATAAAATCTTATGACAACACCTATTATTACAAAACCTATTGACACCTTAATTTTACAGATGAGGAAATTGAGGTTCAGAGAAGTTAAATAACCTGCCTGGAGTCACAGCTAGTGAGAGATAGAATTGAGTTTCTGACTGTCTGATTTTTAACCCCACGTCCTTTCCACTTTGACATGCTATCTCCATATACCAAGGCATGGTCTCTCTGCAAGGGGACTCCATTTGGGATTAGTGCTGTACCATACTGAGCATCTTGCTAGTTGTTGTGTGGACATCTCCAATGTCAGATTTGGCTCTGTCATTTTGGGCTCAAACACTCCTATGGGTGCTCTAGTTGGCTTCATTCACTCCATCCTTCCATTCTTATAGGAGAGTCTGCCTGCCAGAGGCTATTGCTTTCTCTCACTAACTCACTCTAATCAACCAGGTTCTACCGGGTGCTCCCAATTACTTGTTTCCACCTGGTCTAGCTTCAGCAGCTCCTACAGCAACAGAAATTTTATAAAATCCTAGGCCAGAGACCGGTTATCTAGACTTTCCTGTGTGCAAGTAACTCCTTCTCTTATTACTTTCCTGTCCCCTTTAAATTCAACAGAACTTCTGGTCCCTTAATTTTGAAGTTGTGCTTCTAACAACTGGTTTTTCCTTGTCTTCTTGCCTTGGTTCTTCCATTACATACTCTTTGTCTCAACTCTAAACCGTTCATACAATTACTGTCTCCATCTAGCCTGCCAGAATCTGATCCACAGCCCCGTTCTCATGTCTGGTACCCAGATGTCCTCTTCTCAGAATGCCATCTAGTTCTAGAGTCCTAGCTCTCCGTAGAATCCCACATACAATTGGATTGTTTACATTGAGTGACTTTTGTTTTCTGTAGCCAGTTTCCATGCCCTCTGCCTTACCTGCTCTCCCTACCTCACTGTAGCTCCTCAACCTGGGTTCCTCATTCTTGCCTGTTGTTTCAGCAGTGACACAGCTGAGCATGTGCTGTGGTGGCAGTGGAGATGGGAGAAGAGAGAAGCCATTCCCATAGGACCTGACCACTGTTTCTGTTTGGGGTGTCAGTGTCTGACACTGTGTATCATGCTGAATGCTTACAGCAACAGAGGACCTGACTTGCACTGGCTGGTGCAAGGTGCTAGAAGTGGTTAAGTGGCTGTTGGGTAGAGGGTAGACTGCTACACATTGCCTGGCAGCTCCTCTGCCTTGGCATCTCAGCTGCTTACTGGGGCATCTTCTGTATGCACTATGCTAAAAATACTGGTGTGGGATGGTAAGTAGAACTCTTACAGAGCAGTTTCTCTCTCTGGGTCTCTTGTCCCCCTCCCAAAACTTTGCCTCTGTGTCAGAAGAGGTTTTCCTTTGTGAACTTGTTAATATGGTGTCAAAGAGCATTAAAGGCAAGAGGGGCAAGAGCCCAGGGTATGGAAGCAGCATCCACACCATCCTGTCTCACAAGGCTCACAGCCCTGGCAGGAACAGGCCTGTGAACAGGTTTTACTTTACCATAGAAAAACATAGATGCAAGAGAGTGTCAATGAAGATTGTCCAGTAAAATAAGAAACAGGCTACCTGAAGCAGTGCTCTGTCCTGGTCTCAAACTGGATTCTTTGAGAATAGCAGGAGGAAAAGGTCCAGGGAGCAAATACAAGCACTGGTGGCCTTTCTTTATTTAGTATGTTGGGTGTTCTTTGTAAAAAAAATGACAAGTCAGCTAGAGCACTGCAGTGTGAGGTCACCCAAAGAAGGCTTCAGGAGACTGGTGACAGGTTAATGCATGAAGATGCAGAAATGGAGCTGACCAAAATATCAACAGTTTCTTCAGTCTGCTTTTTGTTTTTGTTTTCTTTTTCTTTCTTTCTTTTTTTTTTTTTTTTGCCACCATGAAAAATGGCTTTGAAAGGGAGTTCAATTAAGTCTTTAGGAAGAACATAATTGTTTGTGCATGTGAAATTTTTCCTTGGACTCTTTTCTGATAAGCCAAAGCCATCTAATGCTAAGAACTGCAGTAGCTGGCACTGCCTTTTATAAGGGAACTGAACTGTTCTTGGAAATGTAGCAAATAAGTGGACTTCTTTACAATAGTTTGGAGATACTCTACACACACACACACACACACACACACACACACACTTAAATTTTTCAGATATTACAAGGCTCCTGTGTTTGTTTAACCATAATTCTATGAGCATAATACAGGAATTAGAAAGTTTTATGAGGTATGGGGGTATTTCAAAAAGTTTGTGGAAAACGGAATTAGATGATAATGTGACTATTTCCATAAACTTTTTGAAGACCCCTCGAAGGTGCTTTGGTATTTCCAGTTGTGATGGGAGGTGAGAATCTTATTTTGGGGAGCCACTTACTGAATTTGATTTTTTTTGCCAAAGAAGTTTGACTTAGGAGAAAACCAGTTTTTACGGGGCTTATTAAAGGAGTGTCAGATTATAGCCTCTTCAAAAGGCAACCATAGATGCTACAAGGGTACTTCAGAAAGTTCATGGACAGATTCGTATTATCTCCTAGATCTATTTTTCCACGAACTTTTGAAGTACTTTCAAATATGTAAAGATGACTTAAATCACTTGTAATACTGTCTAACCCATTAGTAGTCTTTGAGTATGTTCTTCTTAAGTCACTTGTGATGCTGTGAAAACCATTAGGACCTTGACTATAATCTTCTTAAGATGGAAAGATGCATAAAGAAGAAGACGCTCCTATGATTATTGTACCTTGACAGTTGAGTGACAGATGAGTCTCTGGACAGAAGCTTTGCTCACGGAGGACAGGAGAGAAGTCATTTGAGCCTAGTGCTGTGAAATTTAAAAGAGGCTTTGAAACTTGAGTATTTGTTATAGTTCAATACAAGCTCTGTTGACCAAATAGCTTGTAGAATTGTGACTTACCTCTTGGCTTCTGAGAGTATAGGGAAATGCAAAAAAGGGTTTTTTTCGTCTAAGGCTTTTTGACTGGGTGCTATTGGTTTCCCTTGCATAATTAATAAGCCCGATTATTCAGGAATGTTTACAATTTATTTAACTTTGAAT